AGTATGACAAAATTATTAACTTTAATAACATTAACAAAAAACCGAATTTTAAAACTTATTTTTTACTGTGACATATGCTATGCGTCATGCCTACTACACAATAATGTGATTATAATATGCTTAAAAAAAAGTACATATTTAATTATAATTTGACAGATACCTAACCTTAATTCTTTGTTATCGTAGTGGCGTGTTCACTGAGCCTACTTAAGAAGTACGAACTCCATGTATGTATACAAATGGCTTCCCCAAATAAGAGGTGATCTGTTTGTTGTTTGGTTTTTACCAAAACAGCAGCCGTACAAAATGAAAATCAGCGCCGCTAGTGGCAAAAAAAAAAGAAAACGAAATGTTTGCGATTTATAAGGCAGATTCTGCCAATTATCTCTTTGTGTAAGCTGGTGGTGCGTTTCTTATTCAAATGTCAAAGTGGGCCTTTTTGGTGTGGAGCATATCAATGAGTTTCTGCCAAAGTATCGCAAGCAACATAACTTAAATTTAGGGAATTGAAAACATTTTTTGTCTTAAAGTCTGTTTTAAACTAAATATAGTCTAAAGGTTTTATAACAAGTAAATAGCTTATAATTATAGCTATTTACTTGTTATAAAACATATAGGTTATATATGGTTTAAAACAGACTTTAAAATAAAAAATGTTTTCAATTCCCGAAATTTGAGTTATGTTGCTTGCGATACTTTGGCAAAAACTCATCGATATGCTCCGAAAATTTTACAGAAGAGGAAATTTTGTTACAAATGGAACAAATGGAGGAAGATACAGAAAATAAGTTTCTAAAAAAAATGTTAAAAACACATTTTAAAATACAGAAAATAAGTTTCTAAAAAAGAACCCTGGCTTAATTAATATAAAAATTACCTAAAAATTTAATATATTTGTATAAAAGGTATATTGTTTATAATATTTTTAATTAATAATACGATTATTACAAAAATATATGTTTTAAATGTAGGTAGGGGAGACCTGGGGTAGAACGGTGTTTTATTTAAATTTCCCGCTGCAGACGATCGATAGTACTTCAGATACTTCATTCTGATTACGTTAATCATTATAATATTTTTTGCATTTTCTGAGAACATTTACCATAGTAATGTATTTTTTTTTACACCATCAGAAAGTAGAGATTTCAACGAACAAAAAGCACACCGACTTTTTGAAAAAAGCTGATATTTTGACGCGAGAATTTTCGATTGAAAATTAGGGTGCTTTTTTGATATTAAGTCAAAATAAGGCGATATAATAAATATTTCAAATCAAATAAATTACAGTGTATTTGGGACATAAAAAGGTAAGTTTTCACCAAATTTCGTGGAAAAAAATTTTTTTTTGAAAAAGATAAAAATAAAAAACCAAAAACTTGGTTTTTTGAATTTTTCACATAAATTTTGAGGTTATGTAAAAAAATTGTAATTACAAAAGTTGTAGATCCTTTTATTACCTACAACTTTGCCATTTAACTTTTTTCCATAGGACTTGTAGTTTTGCCGGAAATAGAGATAAACCATATTTACCCTTAAAACCCCCCCTCCTACTTCCCGAAGTCAGATCGCCCGTAATTTATTTTTCCTTTCATTTTTATTATATTCTTCTCCTTTTCCAATGGGTTTCATCTTACTGTTATTTTTTTTGGTTTTAAAAATTATCGACCCTGGTCTATTGGATTTTATGCACACAGTGCCAAAAGTGAGCTCACAATTCGTGTGAGGGGATAGAGAGTGATGACGATGATGCAGAACTTGTCTGTGAATTGTGTAAGCCCGATAACCCCATTCTGCCCCGTAGGCGGAGCGGAATGGAGTAAAGGACACTTTTTTTTAACACGATAATAAAAAAAATTGTTAAGCATTTATGTTAATTTTTTTTGTATTTTATTTATAATACTTTAATAAATCGTTCTGCTTTTTTTTTAATTTGTACCACGACTCTACTCCACTGAAAATAATTTTTAAACGTTGTAATCCCCATTCCGCCCCGGTCCCCCTACCCGATTTCCTTTCAATTTTGTAATTTTAAATTTCGTGGTAAATTTTACATTGCGCATTCCGTAGCATCGGTATCGGTCTTCATGATGTGACGTGACTGATGCAAATAATTAAGGTTAATCAGTGTTAAGCTAATTTCGTTCTATTTTCTAAAAAATAATCTAATATATGTATTTTTGTGGATGTCTTAATTTAAAACCAAAAAATACATTTATTGTATTATTTATAGAAAATTAGACGAAATTAGCTTGACACTGGCATAAAATTAACCTTAAATATTTGTATCAAAGTCGCGTGGTGGGACTTTTGCTGTGAAAAACTAAGGACAATTTTTAAGTAAAGACAGTAAAAGTTTTCAGTCTTACTTTCCCTTAAAAACTCAGAATATGACTTCCCTGTTAAAAATCACCCATAGAGACCAATAGAAACCAATAAAAAATCAGAATGGAATGAATTGGTCTTTATTGGGCCTATTGGTTTCTCAACAGAATGAGCATTGGTTTCTATTGGTAATTTCCGTACTGGAAAATGCCAATAGATTACCTAATGGTCTGAATTTGTTTTTATAAGAAGTTACAAGTACAGGAAATTCCCAATTGAAATTCAATTGGTAAATACCACTTAAATGTTCAGCGCCTACGCAATTTAATACAAATGACCACTTGTTTCTATTGGCAATTTTCTTACTGGAAAATACCAATAGATAAACTAATGGTCTAAATTGGTATTTTATCGGTGTGTAGGTACAAGGAACCCTATTGGTATATACCACTTTAATATTTATTTTCAAAATTCCCCAATAGGTAGGCAACCCTTGCATACCTCTCGCCTCTGTAGCACAATACATAGGCCTATAAAGGTGGAATGCCTTGAGCTGCTAAGTAAGGATTCTTTACTAAGGCAAAATTACTGGCCATGGAAACGCTTGGCGTTTTGGAATTTTTAAAGGGGCACAGGTCATCCTGTGGCCCAATGCAAAAAGTAAGCAGTGGGCCCCACTACTTACTTTTAGCAGAAGCTATTTATAAAATTTAAATTAAATGTTAAACAGCACTATTTTTGAGAAATTATTTAACCATCAAAACACGTAATTTTTTACCTTAAAGGCGTCTAAAATTTTAAATGGATAGTGGGGACCAATTCAAACCAATAGCGGTACCTCTGGAAAATCCAAATAGCTCTTCTATTGGGAATTACCATTAACATTTAATTCACCTCTATCATTCTCTATTGGGAAATTCGATTAGTCTCTATCGGTCTGTATTGGGATTTTCCAGCGGTGTCGCTATTGGTTTGAATTGGTGATTCATGGTACAGATAACACTATTGAGACCAATTCAAACCAATAGAGCTACCGCTGGAAAATCCCAATAGCTTTTCTATTGGTCTTTATGGGTGATTTTTAACAGGGTTGGTAAGTAGGACTAATAGCAATATTTGGGAATCTTCTGGAAGACTTATTCTGACTTAATAAGACTTTTAGCAAAGAAGTTGTATAGCGATAAAAATAAATATTCGGAATTATTCAGAGATGTTTTATTTGGTTATTGTAAAATAAAACACGAAGGAAAGTATTTACAAACATTTCTGTGTTGTTATAAGCCAAGTTTATTTTAATTCATCACGGTAACATAATCGAGACGTAGGAAAATGTAAAATACATAAAAAACAAGGTGTAATAATTATAACAATAATAATTTTTTGCAATGCATACGATGCGTTTGACTTGCTTTGGATCAATGCTTGTGTTCCAACATTATCTAAATTAATCTAGGCGAATACCTACGTACCATGAAAGAAAGTCGAGTATATCACGTGTTGCAAAAAATTATAGTTGTTAAAGTTATTACACCTTATGTAATAAACAAGCCATCTGTATGTACACAAACCAAACTGTTTTATTGTGATGAATTGCTATAAACTTGGCTTATATTGTGAATATTGCTTCTGTGTTTTCTTTTACAATAACCAAATACAACCTCTGATAAATTTCTAATATTTAATTTTACTTCTTTGCTGAAAGTCAGAATAAATATTGCAAATAGTCTGACTTAATAAGTGCTATTCTAAGTTTTTAAGAAAAAGTAACTCTTATTTTTACTTATTAAAGCTTTTTTTTAAGTTTTTCAGAGAAAAATGTCCACAAGGGTGGAGAATAGTACGTTAGTATACGAATGGGCATAATGCTCGTGCGCAAACTTAGAGTCTGTCAGTGTATATATTGTAAATTACCCAGCTAGCTTTGAATTATTGCTATGCGCGGTGAGCACTTCGCGCATCTGTATAGACTTCACAAATTACGTTTTATTTTTTACCACTAGCTGCGCCGATTTCCATTTTGTACTAACATCTACAACAAACAGAACACTGGCGCCTTTCCACAAGTGTGAACATAGTGAACATAGTACGTCAGTGGTAACCTACGGATTGGCAAAATGCTCTTGCGCACACTCTGTGTCTGTGAGTTTATGTATTGTAAATTACCCAGCTAGCATTGTATGACAGCTATGCGCAGTGGGCACTTTGCGCATCTGTATAGACTGCAGTCCAGATGCGCAAAGTGCTCACAGCGCATAGCTGTCATCCAGCCGTCCCGGCGTAACATATTATGCCTTGTGGTTGTGAGTTACTCCACCTGTATTTAGTCTTCTTGATTAACGGATATGAATTGGACAATAAATAATTTATTATTGTTTCCTAAACTATTTAAAAATAAGTACATAATAATCACATTTACTCGTGCTTAAAATTATACGTAAGCGTGTTTTGATAAAAAAAATCTTTAAATCTAGTAATGGCACCACCTCTAAAAAGTATAATAGGGCTACTGTGACAGGATTATCTACAAACAGTGCTTTTTAAAATATTGAACAGTGATAATCTTAGAAAATGTCTAATTAAATCTCAAGGCTGAAGGTAATAATAGTTTAAATATAAAATTGGCAAAACCCGTAAATGTTTTGGAATTACAATGATTTTTTATTTGGTTTTAAAATTATCTACTTCCCAATATGAAGTCGACACTTATAATATTTAATAATTCGAGTAAAAAATCCTTTGGACTTTTAAAATTATGTAAATACATCATACATTTTACTCCGTTTTAAAAATATTCATGAAAAAGGTCCTAATATGCTAATATACTTTTAATATAATGAATTATTACATTATTACACCTTATATAAATGCGTATTTATATTTAACAAAGATCATTTAAAGGTATTTGATTAAAATATACAACGCTTGCAAAAAGTGCCAATCTCATGCATGGACAATTCTTAAAATTTGCGATGATTTTTCGATAATGATAATAATTTTTGGTGAATACTGATTAAATAAAAAATCGCACAAATAATTATTAGCATTTTATAAAGCATTAAACACAAAAATGAAGGGCCACCAATTTGTAAATTATTTTGGTTTTTACTTTTTTTAGTAAATAGTGTTTTTTTGTTGTGAATCGATTAGTTGAATGGTCTGTATATTCCTATTCTCTAGCCGTAAGACGATAAAGCTCTCCATTGGTCGGTGCATCACTAACTGAGGTATTCGTAGCTCTTGTTTGTTGGGATGTACTCATAGTGTGGGCTAATTGCGGTCTGCCAGTGAATACATACCATCTAAAATTTTAAAATAAATTAGTAAAAGTTAATTTTTACATTTTTAAGCCTTATAAATTTACAAGAATTGTGTAGTAAGAAATATGAAATGGAGATGATTATCACCATATATACACCCTCCTACTGGGAAAATTAATATTTCTAGATTGTTACTGAACATTACATTTGTTAATGTACCCTTGTGGAAATTTTTTTCTGAAAAAGTTTTAATAAGTAAAAGTAAGAGTTTTAAAAGTCTTCCTTTCTCTTAAAAACTCTGAATAAGTCTTATTAAGTCGGAAAAAGTCAGGATAACTCTTAGTAATTCAGACTAATAGCAAGATTTGGAAGTCTTCTGGAAGAGGTAATAGGACTTTTAGCAGATAAATGGTAAATGGTTATTCAGAGATGCTATATTTAACTATTGCAAAAGAAATCACAAAGAAAAGTATTTATAAATACTGTTTTTGTGTTGTTTTAAGGCTTATAAAAACACGAAAGAAATGTTTTTAATATAGGTAAGCAACGTTTACTTAAAAAGAATACAGATCCATTGTTGATTAATAATAACTTTAAGAATTCTTCGAAACGCATAGGCATGATGTGTTCGACAGTTAAACTGATAAAACAAATATGGTTGATCTTCGAGGTGCTTTCATTGCTTGTGTGTTTGATAGTTCGTAGGTTTAGTGTTGCCGGATGAATGTCATAAAAGTGCCTGGCCAAAAATTACAAAATACTAAAATAACTAGTTTTATTTTAAATTTACTAGCGCATTCGCCCTGCTTTGAAAAATAAATTAAATTAATTTAAATGTTATGTAAGTCATTATAAATGTAACAGGATAGAATAAAATAATTGTGCATATTTAGTAAATATACAATATTTTTTACTGAAAACTTTTAGTTATTATTTTAATTAAAATTTGCAAATTATCCGATTTTAACCACTTCAAAATTCTACCCGCAAACATGACGAAAATAGCAGATTTTCGAGTAAAATACTTGCAAACGGCAACACTCGGTCGGAATAATGATGCAATTATTGGTCAGCTGAGAAAACTAATATTGCGTCTAGAACACATGTGTTGTTGTTTTTGGAACAATTGTTTGGAACAATGGTTAGATGAATATTTGCGTATATAAAAAGGAACTATTAAAATAAAACGTACAGTGGCAACAATGAAAGCAAATTAAGCGCATCGTATGTAAAAAATTATAATTGTTATAATTATTACACCTTACATAATATGTTATTATGTTATTATATAGGTAATTATGTACAACCATAAAACCTCTCTGAATAATTCTGGATATTTATTTTTATTGCTATAGCTAAACCTAGGTACCACCATTTCTCTTCTAAAAGTCTTATTAAGTCTTATTAACTCTTTCAGAAGACTCCCAAATATTGCTATTAGTCTGACTTACTAAGACTTATTCAGACTTTTTTAGACTTAATTAATAAGTCTTATTCTGAGTTTTTAAGAGAAAGTAAGACTTTCAAAACTCTTATTTTTACTTATTTTTCAGAGAAAAATTTCCACAAGGGTAATGTTACAAAAATCTTTGTTGCAATGTTTCTGCAACTTTCCAGCAAAGCTTTATATCCGGCTTAGCAACATTTCATTTGAAATGTTACAATTGTACTGTACACTTTAATTTAATTACAATGTTACTAAATGTTCCTTTGGTAAGGTTTTCTTGCAACTTTGGGCCTAACTTTCGAAAGACGTCTTAATTAGAAATATTTCAAAAACATTCCGTTAATATGTTACAAATTAAATGTTATTTTAAAGTGGCATACCTATAAATTTAAGATACACAAGTTCAAATGGTCTGAATTCAACCACAAAACAAACACGTATAATAATAATTCCTAAGACTATAGGCTATAACCCAGAAACATATTCTAGTAGTAGTCGCGTCGCACAGTGTCTTTTAAACAAATTAATCATTGGTTAAAAGCTTTTAAACCTATATTTACTTATTTAATTTACTTACAGGATAATATTTTTATAAAATATATTAAATACTAATTTTTTGCTTCGTTAAATAACAAAAAGAAGATTTTTTGGATCTAGATATGAAATTGCACACTTTTTAAAAATGAAACTTTTTAACAGTTAAAGAATTATATATAGGGATTTCAATCCAGCTGGATTTTTGCTGGATCAATATCAATACAGCCTTCAAAACTTTTTTTAAATTTTTTTAATACTTTAAAACTTTTATTATTATTCTTAAATGAAATACAATGTTCGACAGCAATTAAATTAATTAATTTAATTTATTCATATTAATAACTAACATTTTTCATTAATATTTTTTTTAAATTTTACCAATTTTCATGTTTAATTAATTTTTAAGTCTCTGTTTAATATAGGGTTTTTTTGATAAATTATTTAAAAAACTACAGTGAATTATTATTTATTATTTGTAAAACATTAAACTGATTTTTATTTTAAAAGCTGGAACAAAATTAATGTTAAGATTATAAGAAAATTATATTTATTATTTTTACAATAATTATTATTTGTGTTTTTTTGCTCCCAATGTAACTACTGTAATGTAATGTTTATAAATTAATTAAAATTAAATTAAATTACTCACAATTCTTACAACAAATAACCCGGTCCATAACGGTGCCAAGAAGACACTTATTTAGCATGGAAGTTTATCAAGCGAGAGCAAAAAGTGCGGTGTAGAAAGGGGTGTAGCACGTGCCTCAAGCGTGACAGAACGGTAAGGTCGCTCCCGCCGAGGATTTTTGGGCGTTAGAGCACCTAGCAAAGCGACAACGCTGTCAACGTAGACTTTTGCGCCATTATTTGGAAAGTAAAATATTTGCGGATCGGCACTGCTGGATCCAGCAACCGGTGCTGGATCCAGCTGGATTGCTGGATGAGGGATCCAGCAATTGCAATTCCTAATTATATAATATATATATATATACAGGATGTCCGGGAAAATGTAGGAAATATCTCGGATTCAGATAGAACATGAAAAAATAAGAGTTCCTATAAATTTTTTTCCTACTGGCCCTCCTTATGGAGACATGGGCCCCGAAAGGACGCCGCTGCAAATTGGTTTTCCTTGAATAACTTTTAAAGTACTAAATATAATTTAATAAAAATTGAATATGATGGATCCTGGTAAGGAAATATTTTTTGCTTTTTTTTGTTTACCAGGGGCGGACTAAGTTTTACACCTTAATGCTTAAATTTTGAACACCCAGTATGACAAAGACTTAAAAAAACTAAATCTGCATAGCTTGAACCTTAAACTAAAATAAAGGTACTCTTGTTTATTGTCAATAAAATAAACCGTTTTCGAGAAAAAGAATAATGATGAATTTATGTTTTATTTTTAATAAAAAGGACCATAAAAAATAATATAACTTATTGTTGCAAACCATAAATTGTAGGACGATAATTGTAAACAATGAATTAAAAACTTTATAAGAGGGTTCAACATGGGCTCCGTGAACTCTGTTACATTACCTACAATAACCCAGCATGGTTTTTTATCATACACAATGAAACGTGATTATCTGTGGTTGGCCAATTCGTTGAAATTTGAAATAATAAGAAGAGTTTAATACGTCGAAAACAATAGTGCATGAAGTTCTTTAAGAACAGCTGTTATATCCGTATCATATGCAAAAAGTGCATTAATTATTTCTGAAGATTTTCCTCGTAGAATTGCAGTTTGCAAACTGGCTATTGGATCAGCAACAAAATATAGCAACAAAATAATGTAAACTTCATTAGCACTATTCATTTTACGGATGAAGCAGCATTTACCAAAAAAGGTGTCACGAATTTACACAACACACATGTATGGGCTGATGAAAATCCTCATGCCACTATTGTTTCGCATTATCAACACCAGTTCCAACCAATTAATATGTGGGCAGGAATCATTGGCAATATTTTGATTGGACCAATTGTATTTCCGGCACGATTGAATGGACAACCTAATTTGAGTTTCTCCAGAACGCTTTTCGGGATTTAATAGAGCCTTTACCACTTGAAACCCGCCTAAACATGTACTTCTTGCACGATCGGGCATCACCTCATTTCAGCGTTGCTGTGCGGAAGCACTTGAATAACGGAGGGCAAGTAGGAAATTTTTTTATAGGAACATGTCATCTTATTTTTTCATATTTTATCTGAATCCGAGATATTTCCCACATTTTCCCAGACACCCTTTATATATATATATATATTTACAAGTTGTCCCTAAACTTAGTGGCATAAATTTAGGATCAGATTAAGCAAGTCAAAATAACACGAAAATCTAAATAAATATTTTTCCTAATTAGGTATGTTTAAAAGATACAGGGTAATAAAGTGTTACTTATCCTATCAGTTTTTTTAATATAACTTCCACTATGGTAGACTTGGAAAGGTGATATTTTGCGAACAGTCACTTACTACCAAAACACATATTCACACATAATTACAATTGTTCGAGTAAACGCAGTGTCGTAGAAACAGGGGTTGCTTAAGCTTATTGTCCCATACAAACTTTGAGGTTAGGTTTTTATACCATTTGATGCAATTTTTCGATTACTCAGTTCGGCTACTATTAAAAAGGTGTACCTCTCAAACTTCGATAAAATAAACCGTTTACGAGATATCCGAGATTACAATAATTGTTATATTGCATTAAAGGACTAAAAGGTATATGATAACAAATTTTTTAATTAAAAAAACTACAATTTTTTTTAATGTGTCGGTCAAGGCAAAAAGTCTCGAGGCTCATGGAATGCCATTTTTAGTTTTTTCAATTAAAAAATGAAATTTGTTATCATATAGGTACCTTTTAATCCTTTTAAATAATGCGATATAACAATTATTGTAATCTCGGATATCTCGGAAACGGTTTATTTTATCGAAGTTTTTAATGGTAGACGAACTAATATAAGTTATCGAAAAATTGTATCAAATGTTATAAAAACCTAACCTCAAAGTTTGTATGGGACAATAAGCTTAAAGCAACCCCCGTTTCTACGAC